CCCCAAAACCCCAAAACCCCAAAACCCCAAAACCCCTTTGTTATTATAAATAATTGAGAATTCAAAAAAAATTGCGCAAAATGGAATTAGATCTTTTTACAGAAAAGTTGCATGATAACGAAATTTTATTTCAAAACCTAAACCTACTCGGATTTGATAAGGCCCAAAATGAGAAAGACTTCAAGGTTCTAATCCAAAGAGATATGTTTAACAAAACTAACCAAAAAGGATTGGCTATTCTCTTGTATTTTCTATTATGCCACATGAAACCAGATTTCAAAGGAAAGTATGCAATGTGCTGGTTCCCCTACACTATGGCTGAGATGAAAGAGTTCAAGAAGATCACACTTGAGTATTTCAATATTCTCCAAACTGAGGGACTAGTCCCTCACAGCCAAATTCTTAGCAAAAGTGTCCTAGAAACTGCTTCTGGTAGAAGAGTCTGGGAAATGCTGAGATACTTATCAGACTATGCAATCCGCATTGAGATTTATCGAAATAACCCTCACTACTCCCTCCCAGAGTTTATGATGACTCTATCTGAATACAAAGAAGAAATAGACACAAATGAAAATGGAGACGAGCTAACCACTCAGATTGATATGCCCTCCAAAGAATGATCGGGAAATAGCCCAGCTGTTCTCCAAATCCCACTTGTCAAGAAGGTTCCAGCCATTACTAATTTGAATAGAAGTATACTAAACAGGAACAGAATGGGTGCTATCAGTCAGACTCAAAAGGAAATTCAAAAGTTTAAAGAAATAAGCATTGATCAACAAACACAAAAGAAGGCCTGGATAGAGACCTCTGAAAAATTAAGCGATTTGTATGAGAAACTCAATGAAAAACTCAATTCTAACAAGAAACAAGTCAAAAAGACTGTCCTTCAAGGGAAGAATAATGGAGAAGTCTCTTCTCATGAAGAAATTGGAGACTCTGAACTTGTCAGAGATGCAATAGAGACAAGCCTAAGCTGTATTGATAGAATCCCTGTTCTGGATAACATTCAAGAGAATTATGGAAAGCTCAGATATCTCAAAGAGAATATGGAGAATAACTCCTTACTCTCAAACCTTCAAAAATTGGTCACATCCAAGGATGAAGAAATTAAGATGAACACACTTAGTGAAGATTTGATCTTCAAAGATCTCCTTGATGTCCAAAAGGAAGAGCTTTATCCAAAATTACTGGTTAATCCAAAGCAAAACAAAAAGGCTATCTGCTTAGAAAATCTAATCGATCAAGCAAACCGTCAGACTTCTGATGCAATTCATATGTTAGAGCAGGACAAAAAGGTAATTAAGATGGAGAAACTTAAAGAATCAATCCTTAATCTCAAAAAACTCCATCAAAACAAGCTTGACCAAGTCAGGAAGTTCAATGAAAGTCTCGAACAAAAGCTTGCTGTATAATTCATTAATATTTATACAAATAGGGGTTTTGGGGTTTTGGGGTTTTGGGGTTTTGGGGTTTTGGG